AATTTATATTATTGTGAATTCAACATTAATCCTTCGATACGAATTAACAAATATGAATTATTAAAATTTTTAACAAAGCCGAGTCATGAAGTCGCATAAATATTAAAAAGGACGTCTGTTGAGTATAACTTTAATATTACGTTACGTTTTCTAATAAAAAGATTTAGATATAAGGTGAAACAAAATTATTGTCGATTTTGAAGTATAGCGGTTAGGGTAATACGTCGATTAACGATATATACACGATCGTCGAAGTTAAGTTTAACTCTCTCTCTCTCTCCCTCTCTCTCTCTTGTCGTGTCTACGTGACGGATGGGTGATCGATTAAAATATCACTTTTCAAAGGAAGAGAGAAAGAAAATATAGTTTTTATAAAGAGAAGAAAAAGAAGATAATTGAGAAAAATAATAATAATATTATCATCGATGGAGAATTATCGGAACGGAAGAGTTTTTGATATTCATTTCCAAGAAGAAGAAGCGTAGTTAGTTACGCCATTGGTGGTTGGATTTCACATTACGTAGATACGCACTTTTTACCAGAAGAAAATAACATTACACACTAGTGGATTGTACACATATGTATTGTTTATAAATTTGTTTGTCCATCGTCGTTTTCTATATCAAACATTAAACTTAAAACAAATTAAAGTTGTGTTTAAAGTGATTGTACACTTTATCGTCAGCTTCAACTTATAAAGAGTTTTTTAAAAACTAAAAACACATATATATATATATATATATATATATATATTTGTGTATAAATTGCATGACGTCGTCATAAACGTTTAAATACAAGAAACGCAAAAAACAAAAAAAAAAAAAAGAAGAATTATTATAATATTTACAGGCCTTTAACGGAATGGAATCCGTTGATTGCCATGCGATTCATCGAAGTTAAGTGACTCTTGTTCGTATCTACATATATAATATAATGGATGTATGTGACCAGTAGTAGTTAAGTATCATCTTTCGAAGAAGAATGTGTCTGTGTGTGTGTGTTAAAAAAGAGAAGCGAGAATGAATGACGATGGAGAGAAGAGGGGAGCGAGAATAGGGTATAATAATTGGAATAATATTGTCACTAAATTATCGGACCGAAGAAGGAAGAGTTCGTGTTTCATTTCCAAGAAGAAAGAGAAATAAGGAGGGATGGGAGAGGGGAAGAGGAGGAGGGAGGAACGAGTGTGTGTTACGCCATTGAGAGGGACTTTTAACGGGTTACATAGATACGCACTTTATCAGAGTTGTGTTGTGTATAATACATGTGTGTGTGTGATCATCGTGTTGTTCATGTGAGCATCACGGCGCTTCGTGTGGCTCTCTCTCTCTCTCTCTCTCTCTCCACTCTCTCTCTTCTTCTCTGGCTATGGTATAATATACACGTATTTTGCGTATATATGGATTGTGCGGTAGTGTGAAGAGAAGAAGAGTGAGTGATGGTGGCAGGGAGGGAAGTTGGTGTACACAACCGCGTGTGGGTTTCCATGTAACCATTAATTAGATTAGCATATGCCGGAAAAAGGAGCTCTCCACATGGTACATACATATGTATATATATAAGAAGGCACACATATACATGTGTTTATATATATATATATATATATACATATATATAACTTGCCTATATCCGTCGCAACGGCATAAAAACGCGTTTTACCATTTATTCGTTTAGAGTAAAACAAATGGAACGTTAATGACATTATATGAGATCATCTGTGAGAGATTTGTCGCGTAAAATTCGCATCGAATGTTTTTTGTGTGCTGTGTTACGTGCCAATATATATATATACATATATATATATATATATATATATATGATATTGTGTTTTTGCGCGTGTATGCGTATGTATATATAACCTATATATAATCTAACTTAGGATTTTAACTCAAAGTAGATGAAAAATGTTCATCAAAGTCACAACAGGAAGAGTTTCCCGGTATACTCAGTTATGATAGTGTTCCTCGTTATCATCTCTTCTCATAAGTTCATAATGATCTTTCAAGGTATGTGTGTGTTGTGTCTGTCGCGTATCGTCGTGTATGTGTGTGTGTGTGCGCGCGCGTGTGTGTAACTTTAAAAAACAACCCAAAGTGTGTAATAATTACGCACAAAAGATTTCTCATTTCGCGTTCTGTTATAATATACTTCTACGAGTTTCCTCTTTGTCGAAACTCCGCTCACACGCGTATATAAAAAGACGAGACAAGACAAGAAAAGAAAAGAAAAGAAGAGAAAAGAAAAGAAAGACCGATTCGCATGTATGTATGTACAAAGGAGAAATATATACATGCACTTGTCGTTCCACAAAATCACGAGGGAGATTCTCTTTCGGTGGTAAAAGTAGAGGAGCTGGACGGAATGAAGGGGGGAGGACAGAGGAGAAGAGTAGAGACCCCGTTGATTTAAAGTTACAGTATTGCGAGGGTGCGCACAGTATGGCCGAAGGGGCTACGAACTATTTATTTCATGGACTTCCCCGGTGTGTACGCGTTGATGTGAACGCGACGACTCCTTCGCACGCGCGTATATGATATGGCGACGACGACGACGACGACGACGACGACGACGACGACGACGACGACGACGAAGACGACGACGATGAGGTAGAGAAGAGGGAGGATGGGTCGACGTCTCGACGTCGTGTTTGGTACTCGGCTGCTTTATAACATATACACATATACATCTAATACATATGTGTACATAGAAAGAGAGAGAGAGACTTTGCTATGCCAGGGTGTTGTATGTATGTGTTCATAAGAGAGAGAGAGAGAGAGAGAGAAAGAATACATAAGACGCGTATGTAATGTGCGTGCTCATGTAGTATATGTTGGAATGCGACGGCCTAGGTGAAATGCCTGGCCATGTGCCAGAGACTTTAACCTCAATTTGCAATAAAATACATGGGACGACGACTAACGCGAATTCTCTTCGATTCTTTTTCTCTCTCTCTCTCTCTCTCTCTCTCTCTTTCTCTCTTTCCCCTTTTTTTTTATCTATCCTACGACTATTATTTTAGTTTAGTTACTTGCGTACTAATGCGATTTTATTTTTCATATAATTTTTATTTAATTTTTATAATTTTATTTTTTTCCCTTTCGTTTCTTTTTTCAATCCCTCAATGTAAATATATATTCGATTCATTCGTTTCTCGAATTTCTACGATTTAATCGTATCGTTCGTTATCTTCAATTATTTCCTCTTACTCGCATATTCGAGATCTTGTTATATAAGCTTATAAAGACAGAGAAAGAGAGAGAGAGAGAGAGAGAGAGAGAGAGAGAGAGAAGGGGAAAGATATTTTGTTATTTACACAAATATGTATATTTATCTACTTATGTATATTATGACATCTTTCTTGAATTAGCATTATCGGGACACAGTCATGGATTACGCTCTTTAAATATACTGTTTCTTTAGTATAATTATTTACGTTCCCGAGAGAATTTGAGATCGTAAGTTGAATATATTACGAAATCGAAACAAGTATGTGTGTACTTATAAATATATTTATATATACATGAGGAGATGACGGAAGTATCGATAAGATAATACTTTTTTCGAAGATAAGATATAAAAGTACTAGAAATATTTTTTAATCATTAAATTTATTAAAATTAGCCGTAGTTCGTGACACGTGTTTTTCCTTCAAGCTGATCGTCGAAATATTTTCTTATATTATTCTTTTATAGATAAACTTTCGTAATTTTTTCGTCAATTTTTACGTGTGTATAAAAACAAAATTATATATTGCGAAAGTTATTATATAAAATAGTATATATTGTCTTATATTTGTATTAGTACAGGCGAACATTATCAAATATTATTTATAAATATAAATAAGTTGAATACAGTTATACTATACTACTAATATAATCATATATATAAATTAACAATATCGTTAATTTTATAAATGAATATACGATAAAATGAATGACATAGTATTCATTTGATCCCATCGTAAAACCAAATAAAATTTCAATAACGATCAATAATAAATATAATATATAAAATTGTATCTATGTAATGCGTGTTATCCGAAAAGATACATAAATTTAGGTTAATTTAATCGATCCGATAATCGTGATAAACTTTTTATTGTCGTCTTATCAGATTGATCTAAAAAAAAAAAAAAAAAAAAATGAGAGAGAAAAAGGAAAACACAAAGATAACGAAAGAAGATATTGTGAAATAATGTATCAGTCGTTCGTTTTATTTACTTGCCAACTTATATTTTACGAAATTCGTATTCGTACATTTCTCATCCATTACTTTTCTTCGTACCAGGTTTCGTACTTAGGTATCTACGTACCTGGTGACCTCTTTACATAGTATTACATTACACGACATTACCCTGTGCAATGCGCGCGACGACATGGACGGAGCTTTTTTTTTATATATACGTACGCAAGCGCGCTCGCGAACACAAAGCAAACCGTTTCGCTCGCTTTTATCTCGTCGCGTTTATCTCTCGGCGTGCGCGTCTACAACGCGGCACGTTTATCTACGGTAATAAATGAGACAGTTAAACAAAGAGATTCCTCCTCCCTCCTTCATCCCCACCTAACACTATTCCTACGGCGCTTCTTCTCCTCCTTCCTCTCAAAGTCACCACCCTCATACTCTACTCATCCTCCTACAAAGAAACTTACCAAACTCGCAAGTTTCTCCGGACGCGATGGTTTACGTATTAAAACAAAGGAACACAATCGTCGAACACACCCTGAAACATTTTACGATTACTTATGGATCTGTCATATATATATATATATAACATAAAATAAAGATTGGATAGTGTTTGCTAATGTAAAACGTCACACGTATATTTTTTATTTTCTTCGTTCGATCGTCCTTGTAGTCTTATATTTAAAGGGGAAGGAAACGGAAAAAAATATCATTGTCTTATTAATCGACCAGTAATAATTACAATGTTTGTTTCGATTAAAAAAGAAAAAAGAAAAATATATTCGATAAATAATAATATTTTTCTTCTTTTGTAGCCCAGACCAGGAAGGAGATCACGAGGACGTCCTGGTAACAATACGTCACAATTGCAACCAACGCCCAGAGTGCAAAGTCCGATTACCCAGCATCTAGATAAAGGTATATATGTATATATATATATATATATATATATATATATATATATATATCACTAACATCACATCCAAACGTTTCATTCATTATTCAAGATTATGAGAAACTAAATAATGAATTAACAAGTTTCTTCATACTTTAAAATTCCAATCGTCCATTTGCTTTATCGCTTTATATCGGATGATATAAAGTTGTTAAAGTATTTGAATATATTTTTATTTATTTATTCATTTATCTTTTTTTTCTTTTTTGACGCATGCGTCAGCATCGTCGGGAAAAGAAAAAATAGCATGGCGTAAATAAAAATATTTATCCTTTATAAGCGTAAATTAAAAAATATCTTCTTCGTGTTCATTTTTATCAAGCGGTAATAATAATTGAACACGTGTCAAAAGGGAATAGAATGAGCGTGTGGTGGGCGAGGTTGAGATGAGGTTTTGAGTGATAATTGAGATAAACGAGGTTAGATCGATTTCGAAATGGAAAATCTCCCGACAACGCGTTGTTTTTTGTCTTTGTCGGTAAAAAAAGTGAACGTGAGAAAAAGAGAGAGAGAGAGAGAGAGAGAGAGAGAGAGAGACAGAAAGAGAGAGTATCGTACTTACGTTCCCGACCCACAATGTCCAGGTCTCTCTCTCTTCGGCCGTGGTCGATGAAGCGAGGTCAAACGGGGTCGTCGGAGTTGGGTTGCGCGAATCGACCCAGCCAAAGGTCAGACGAAGACATACCATTGGACTAAGCTGTTCTCTCTCTCTCTCTCTCTCTCTCTCTCTCTCTCTCTCTCTCTCTCTCTCTCTCTCTCTCTCTCTCCCTCCCCTTCAGGGTTCTCTCGTGAGAGACGGTTACGCTCGGTTCCATTAAACTTGCTTCTGGAATTTAACGGAAGAATCTATATTGAGGGTTAGATTGTGTTGGTATATTGGTGAGTAAGGACGGTAAAGAGAAAAGAGGGACTAAGATAAAAAGGTGGTAGAAAGGTATACATTTGTGTGTACATGTATGTGAGTATTTGTGTTTGTATGGTATCCTGAAATGATTTCGAGAGCGAAAGCGGCCGATGTTTCCGAAGGAGGGAGGAAAGAAGGGTGGGAGAGAGGGGAATGATAGCTAGATTCGAAAGATAAGAAATTGAGGAACCAAAGTGTGAGGAAGAAGAGGACTTAGCTAGCGTAGTAGTAGTAGTAGTAGTAGTAGTAGTAGTAGTAGTAGTAGTAGTAATAGTAGTAATAATAGTAATAGCGGTAGTAATAGTGATGGGATTGTAGTGATATGGTGGGATTGGTAGGAGGAGGAGGTTGTATAGGGAAGCAGAGGTCAGAAGGAGGGAAATGATTCGAGGAACTCCATAGAACCGGTCCACAAACAAAAGATTCGTACAGAGGGTTGGCGAGGTTGGGATATCATCCTTCTCCTCCTGCCTCCTCTCCTTGGTTTTAAGGGTTAGATGAAAAAGAAAACGAGATCGAGAAAGAAACTGAACTAACTGGGTGGGTGGATGTTTGTTGAGAGGGTGGGAAGAAAGGAGAGAGGCTGATTCAGGTAGACCCAGAGAGTCTTAAGAAAAAGAAAAAAGAGAGAGAGAGAGAGAATGGTGATAGGAGATGAGGTGGGATTGCAGGTGGGGGTGGATCTTCCTCAACACGTAACGTGGATACTCTTCTTTTTCTTCTTCTTCTTCTTTTGGGGTCTTTTGTTCACGACTGGAGCTACTGCTTCTTTTCTCTAATCGTGCGCCCACCATTCTCACCTTTTACTTTTGTTTTGTTCCTTTTTTCTTGTTTCTTTTTTTTCTTTCTTTCTTTTTTTTTAATATTTTTCTTTATTGTTTTTCTTTCTTCTTTCTTCGAACTCGTCTCGAAAAGAAGAAATCTGAAGAAGAAGAAGAAGAAGAAGAAAAAGAAGAAGAGTAATAAAGTAACGAAATCCTCTTCGAAGGGAAAGCCCTTTGAAGTGATCCCAATCTTCTTCTTCTTCGTCGTCGTAGGCATAATTCCTCAGCTTGTCTCTTTACAGCCTTCTGTACTCATACATACATACACATATATATATATACACATATATACACATACATACACAATCGTTTGTCAGTGTGCCCTCGCGTGTACACTCATGTAACATACTCGTTCACATCTCTCTTTCTCTCTATCCGAGGAAGTTTTCCTTCTTTTTCTTTTCCTTCTTCCTTTTTATTTTCCTTTTCTTTTTCTTTTCCTTTCTTTTTTTCTTTTTTACTTTCTCGCTCTCAGACTCGCAAAAATAAACGCCACGGTATAAAGCTCGTGTCGGGTGACACATTGCTGAAAATACATTCTCTCTCTCTCTCTCTCTCTCTCTCTCTCTCTCTCTCTCTCTCTCTCTCTCTTTCTCTGTCTAATTTTATTTTATTTCATTTCTTTTTTTATTCCCCCACCCTTATCCCCTTTGCAAAACTACTTCAATCGCAAAGTCGTTGATACTCGGTGATAATTACCGTGGGAAGTTGAAAAGGAAACTTCTTCTATATGTGGATATCTATTTGTACACGCGCGCGCACATATATATATATATACATATATACATACATACACAACGTAAGAAGCACGGCAGAAGAGGAGAGGAGAGGAAGGTGAACGTTCCAAGCTAGCTTGGACCAATTACACGAGAGATGCCGGAAGCTTCGTCTCTAACAGGAAATTACTCCTCTACCTCCTCCTCCTTCTCTTTCGTTCATCTTTTACCTCGTAACTCCGTAGATGCGTGTATCAATCCTCCTCTATCACCACCTAAACTTTCCAACTTTTCTCCCTCCCCCCACTCTCTTCTTTTACAAATTAAAGATTTAACCAGCTTATACGTTATATGTCGAAATACTCGAACGAAATAGATCGAGCAAATCCGATAATACTCCTTTATTGTACATAAAAGATCTCTACGGTGATCTTTATGATGTAGTATTTATTAACAATTAACTTCTGGTTAATGCAAACTCACGTGAGCAATATTACACACACAGGCACACATATTCTCCTTTCAATTACTCATGCTCTCTTTCTCTCTCTCTCCCTCGTTATTCTCTCATCGTATCCATAGGGTGTATATATATATATATATATATATATGTAACATAGATATTATCGGTCTACAATGAGATCTACCTACGTATATACATATACACGTAGATGTATACATATATACGTAAAGAGAGAACGTGATCGTGTATCGTCTAGCCAGCTAATTATCGATCATACTAAAGATCGATCAGTTAATTCTTTCAGGTCGGTGCACCCGAACGCGGTACTACCACTAGTACTACTACTACTACTACTACTACTACTATCACTATCACTAGCGCTAGCTACCGCTAGTATTACCATCACTATTACCTACCAATACGAATACACTGGCAGACCGAGAGAAGACCGACCCAATAGCTTTAGCATACCACTCTTACGGTGCTTTAATCACGATCCAGAACCAGTTAGAGTTGCCGTACTAATTATTCGTAGACGTGCGCGCGTTACCCGTTGCACCTGATTCCAATGACCCGTTCTATGGTATGTATGTCTGTCTCTATGTATGTATATATGTATGTATAGTAAACCCGTCTATCTCTTTTTCTCTTTATCCATCTAGCTATCTATCTCTTTCTTATACACGTCGACACGTGTCAACCTCTTCAAATCTATCCAACCGTCTATACTTCTTTGTGTTCATTTCATCGTTAGACTCTCTTTAGATCTACTCTTTCTTTCTCTCTCTTCTACGATTTTATCAGGGCATCGAGGAGACTGTTGAAGAAAGAAAGAAAGAAAGAAAGAAAGAAAGAAAGAAAGAAAGAAAGGAAGAAAGAAACATAGGGAAAGAGTTGAGGGTAAAGGGGTGGGGGAGGGAACTCGTAGCTACTGGTTATATGGCTTGGCAGTCGGCCAATCCTGATCCAAAGTCGCTGTCGAGACACGTTTTTCTTCTTTTTACCTCTCCGGTTTCCCTCCGTCCTCTTCTTCTTCTTCTTCTATCTTTCTCTTTTTCTCTTTCAATCCGTCTTCGTTCTTTTGGACTTTTCAAAGTCAGACCATGCTACTCTAACGCCATTCCTCTCTCTCTCCTTCTCTCTCTCTCTCTCTCTTTCTCTTTCTCTACATCTACACACACACACACACATATATATATATATACTTTCTCTACCTTTACCTATGCCTATACATGTACGTATAAATATATGTATCTACTTCTTCTTCTTCTTCTTCTTCTTCTTTTTCTTTTTCTTTTTCTTTTTCTTTTTCTTCTTCCTCTTCTTTTTTCTATCTTTGAAGTAAACGGAGAAAAGTCCAAGGTGCATTGAGGTCTTTGAGAAGTGCATCGTGAGAACTTCAGGGTGCCGATGGCCACGATCCTCTAATAAGATACGATTTATCTGGGTGACTTAACCCAACGGGATTTCTTCTTTGGGTTACTTTTAAAGGATCATTTGTCTGATTGTATTGTTGTCGTTGTTAGTGTTAGTGTCATTGTCGATTGTGCTATCGTTCCATTAATGCGTTGATTGCCACGTGTATTATATATATATATATATATTTTCTTTTTTTGCATTTCATATTTCATTTTTTTTGCCAATCAAATTTTTCTGTAAAAAAAAAAAAAAAAGGAGAAAAGAAAATATTTCTTCTCCTATCTTCTCGCTTTCGTCCTTGCCCTATCTTCTCTTCCTGTTAAAATTTTTATAATAATAATAAAAAAAAAAAAATATCAAATCCAAATAGTGTCATTAAGAAATTCAATTATTTCATAATACTGATATACAAGTACATAAATATATTTATTTAATGACGACTTAAAAATTGCCATGGTTATTCATAATTCGTATAAATACTTAATTATACAAAAACGAATTCATACGAACATTTTTATTTCTTTTTTGTTTACTTTTTTTCTCCTTTTTATTTTTTATTTTTTTCGAACCGCTCTTCCATACGGTGAATTCGATTTTTTATATTTTATCAACTTGCGACAATTTTCAGATATCGTGA